GGGGGGGGGGGGGGGGTTATCCTTGAGGAGACCCCTCCCTTCTCCTATCCAAACGTTGCCTTCACAAGTCACAGTCCTGCCCCTCCCCCACCCCTCCAGGCCCTGGTTGCGGGGAGGTCGTCTGCCTCCTGCCCCTTGATCCCACCACGCTGCCCTCTGCATAGCTCCCAGCTCCTCTCCCAGTTCACATGGCTGGCATATTCAGGAGCTCTGACAACATGAGCAAATGCCCTTGGCATCCTGGACATGCCTCTTCTTGACCCTGCCTGCTAGACCTAACCGAAGCCAGTTCCTAACCCCCGTCCCTCCATGAAGCCCAGTGCTCCTGGGCCCAACCCAGCTGCCTGGGGGGCCCTGACCTCTGCCGCCCTCTGGAGCTCCAGCATCCCTCACTGCTTCTGCTGCTTCTCCGGGAGGGCCCTAGATCTGCTGCTGCCCAGGGGCGGTTTCTACCCCAGACCTTCAACCTGACCTGGTGTCTTCTCTGCCACACCCTTCCAGTCTGAGCTTTCTCTGTGGTGTCAGCAACTCTCCAGGCAACTAGATGTGGCAGAGCCAGTGTTGTCTTCCCACGCAGGGCCAGAGCTTCCATCGTAGGCTCTAAGCTGAGCAGGCCTGCCCGGGGAGCTCAAGCCCAGAAAGCTCCGCTCTCAGACAGTGGTCCTTTCAAGTCCTCACACAGGGACCGCTAACCTCACACATTCCTTCCTCCAGCTGTGCCAGATCCTGGGGCAGGGGGTGGACTGGGAGACAGGCGGGGATGGGGCGGTGGCAGGTGCCTCCTGACCCATCCCTCTGCTGCTTGTTCCTGCCCGGGGATAGGACGTCCACCACCTCAACATCTAGCCTGGCCTTCCCTGCCCATCTTCCTTCCCCACATTTAGCAGATGCTCAGTTAGGCTTGCTGGACCTGAGCCCACCTGCTCTGACTGGGTCAGGCCATTGGCTTCTGTGGCAGAGAGTTATCTCAGATGTCTGTTTATTTGTTAGGGCGGTGGACACACGGGAAAACTTGGGTTGAATCAGGAAACTGTCGGGACTCCCGGCTTACTCACCTCCACCCTGAGCTGCAGGTGGGTGGGCTCTGAGGTGAGATTCTTCAAGTACTCCTTCCGGTGCACTGCCGTGGCCCAAAGCAAGGGAGTGGGGGCAGAAGAAAGAGGTGAGACATATACAGCAATAGGGGTTGGTCAGCATGGCGAGGGAGGGAATGGAGGGCAGGGGATTCAGGGAGCTCAGTGGGAGGGAAGGGGAGAGGGCACTGGAGGGACAGCTTACAGTAAATGGCTCTGCTGCTGGGCCGGGACATGCTGATGCTGCTGAGATGACTCCCTAGAAGCCAAAATGAACGGAAGAGACAGCAATCAGGGCTGGGGAGGGGGATACCGGCGCAGAGCTGGGCGGGACAGCTGTTGCAGCCCATCCCTGATGCGGGTCTGAGGCCTGGACCACAGGTCTTTCTGGATCCTTCTCCAGATGTACCCTCTGCTGAGGAGCCCTCCGTCTTGGCTGGGCCTTGGAGGCCCCCAGGCAGGCTCCCAGCTTCCCATTATTTGGCCAGTAAAGCTCATTCCAATGGGTTCAGGAAAGCTGGATGGACAGGAACTTGGGACCAGATCCCATCCTGGGCCCGAGTGTAAAAGATGCCAGATGGGTGCGCCTAGCTTCTGGAGGGAAGGAATTAGGGTCAGCAGCCTTCCCTGCCAAAGCAAGCCTCTTGTCCAAGCCTGTTTCAATTCCTCAAATTAGGAGGAGGCCAGTGCTGGCTCTTATGCTGGGGACCTGCTCAGGAGGGGTGTATGTGTATGTGTATGTGTATGCACATGCATTTGTATGCACGTTTATGATGGGGCTCTGTAGGATGTGTCAGTGATCTGCACTTTCCTGAATGTCTTACTAAATCTTCTGTCTCTTTGCCTTTCCATTCTCTGAACCCCCTTCTCAGAGTCCCTCCCCACACAACCCTTTAAATTCCAGCTCAAGGGAATAGACATTTTTCCAAAGAAGAGATACAGATGGCCAACAGGCACATGAAAAGATGTTTAACATCACTAATTATTAGAGAAATGCAAGTCAAAATCACAATGAGGTATCACCTCCCACCTGTCAGAATGGCTATTAACAAAAAGGCAAGAGAGAAAAAAAAGTTGGTAAAGAAGTGAAGAAAAGGGAACCCTCGTGCACTGTTGGTAGGAATGTAAAATGGTGCAGCCACTGTGTAAAACGATATGGAGACTCCTCAAAAAATGAAGAATAGAACTACCATATGATCCAGAAATCCCACTTCTGGGTATTTATCCAAAGAATATGAGATACACACCCCTGTGTGTGTTCATCATGGCATTTACAATAGCCGAGAAAGATATGGAAACAACCTGAGTGACCATCAACAGATGCAGGATAAAGGAGATGTTGTATATACAATGGAATTAACCATAAAAAAGATGAAATCTTGCCATTTGCATGGACCTTGAAGGTGTTATGCTAAATGAAATACGACAGGGAGAGAAAGATAAATAACGTATGATTCCACTCTTTTGTGGAATATAAGAAAGAAACAAAACAAAATATATAAACAGACCAAACCAAACGAAAATGTAGATACACAGAACACAGTAGTGGTTACCAGAGGAGAAGGGGCAGGAGAGAGGGGGAAATGGGTAAACGGGATCACTGTGTGGTGATGGATAGAAATTAAAATTTTGGTGATGAGCATGCTATAGTGTACACAGAAGTAGAAATATAATGTTGTGCACATGAAACATAATGTTATAAACCAAGGTTAACTCAATAAAAAAAAAATCTAAATAAATAAATAGATTCCAGGTTAAGGATCACCTCCTCAGTGAAGCCCTCCTTGACCACCCCACTCCACCCTTCCCATCATCCTAATGCCACACCAAACCTTGTACGTTCCTCTCTAACAAGAGCAGCCACCCTGGTTAGTGCTGTGAGGCTAATGCCAAGTGCCTTATGAACCTTTATATCATTTAATTTTCACTACCATCGCTTACACTTCCTTGGCCCTATGTGCCGAGCACTGTTCTACAGATGTTACCCCCATCAACTCATTTAATCCTCAGAACAACCTAGCTGGGTGGGTTCTGTTATTATGCCATTTACCAGATGAGGATGCTGAGGTTCAAAGAGGGTAACAGGCCTGAAATCTCAAGTAAGTATTTGATAGAGAATGAACCCAGCCGTGTCTGACTGCAAACTCCATGCTTTAACTGTTTATATATGTGCCTCTGTCACTGGGCTGTGACCTCCTGAGGACGGACTTATCTTGCCACTGCTGTCCACACAGCGCCCTCGTGGCATAGAGGGGGTCTAGAATATGTATATGTTGAAATGGAATGGAAGTAAATGAGGTGTGTGCGTACGTGCAGGGTGGGGCGGGAGTTAGCTGAGTGTGTGGGTCAAGGCAATGTGTTACTTTAATGATGTAGGTATGCATCACGAATAGGGTGTCGGTTCCATGGGTGTCCGTGCACCTGCGTGGTGCCTCTGAGTTGTTCAGAAACCTTGGAATATCCTGGGCAAAGTGTCAGAGAGCAGCCCACACCCCTGTTACTAGGACTGTTATGAAAATAGCAGAAGATCTGATAAGATGACTCAGTGCTGGGGAAATTGTTGCTAGTAAACAATTAAGGGATTGTGGCTGGGTCTCTGTTTTCCTTGTTTGGGAGGAACCCTTTCCTCTCCAAGGGTAAGGGGGTACTAAAAGTCTGCTCTCCCTCTCCCCAGCTGCGCCTCTCAGGCTGCAACACTTCCTGCTTCTAGATCCAGGAGACAAAGAAGAGAAAACAAACGGCGTTTCGGTTAGCTCCCCGCCAGCCGCCTCGCACAAGGATGGTCCCTGTGGGTCTCTGTGAGCAGGTCCAGGGAAACATCTGCTGCCCAAGATCCTGATGACACAGGCAGGGGGTGGGGGGATCCTCAAGGTGGGGCGTGGGGATGGGCGGATGAAAGGCGGGGGGTGGAGGAGTGGGGGACTCCTTGCCCCTGGGAAGGGGGGATCTCTGGCAGCCCAGTTTCCCCCATTTATCCCCCAAATTTAGGGACCTGGAGCGGGGAAGGCGTTCGTGTCTGCATCACGGACCCTGGGAGAAGCAGCCCAGAGATGCGGCTGGAGCCCTGCTTCCTGGCCGGCTAGCGCTTGGCTGAGTTCCAAGCTCTTCTTAGGGCTGCTTGTCCTGGCTACATCTGACAATGGGCAGGAGACCCTGGCCTGGGAAGCCTCACTGAGTTGCGTCCGGCATCCCCCGCGGCTTGGCTGGGCCCTGATCTCCCCGAGGGCCAGTCCCTTACCTGGGTCCCAGTGAGGCCTGGTGGCTGGTCCCCCCGAAGGGCCAGTTGTTTGAGCTGCTGGTCCGACGCTGGTGGTGGGAAGGCAGTGACTTCTCTGCTAGAGGCGCAGCCACAGGCAGAGGCCCTGTGATCAGGTGAGCCCTGACGGTGCAGACAGGTCTTAACGCTGGTGAGGCCATGAGGCAGCCACACCTGTGCTCTTTGGACTCTGATGGGTGGGAAGGCCTCCTAGGCCACCACCTGCCCAGCACCAAAACCTGGGCCTGTGGCAACGCCTGCGCTGACATGTGTCCCAAGCTTAGCCAGACTCCTGCTTCCCAGCTTCCTCCTCTGCTTGCCTCTGCCATTAGTGTGTGGCCCCCTCTTCCCTCCCTCTTTGGGTACCCCCTCTGAGGCCCCAGGTCAGCAACAGGCACCAGGGTTGGGACCAGAAGGAGAGGGCACCCATGGTTCGGGAGAGTCTGGCTTCTGTGGTCAGGGCACAGGCGGCTGGAGGTGGGCTCCAGCCTTGGGGGCAGCCGTGGGCTGGCACGTGTGCCTGTGTGTGCTGCGCATGTGAGTTCGTGTGGGTTCATGATCGTGTGTGCCCAGGTGGTGCCTGCGAGCAGGATGTGGAGTTTGTGAGAGCAGATGAAGGCTGGGGGCTGGGACCACCATGGGCATTAGGTGGAGGGATAAAACTGCTTCCTAGCAGGGCCCACCTCATTCTGCCCTTTCTTCTTTCCCCTCTGACCCAGCAGGGAGCCCTCTCCCTCATCCGTTCTTTCCTGCCCTACCTTACCCCATGCCCTCAGACCTCTGGTTGAGCCTGGGTGGCTTCAGCAGAGATAGGAAACTGAGGTCTGCCTCTGTTTCATGGTCCTCGTGCTTCCATTCCAGGGGGAGAAGCAGACAGATATAGAGTGGGGCCCAGGGAGTAGCTGGGAGGGCCGGCCTCGCCGGGAGAGAAGGGGCCTGAGCCAGTGGGGGCTCCCGCGCGCACGGCCTCTGCCCTGGTTGGCTGGAGCCTCTACCTCCCTCCCAGCAGAGGACGAGGAAGGAAAGGGGTCTGGCAGCAGGAGGAGGCTGGGAGGGGGTGATCTGAGGGCAAATGGTCAACTCTGTGGGGCCTGTGTGGTGTCGGAGGATTAAGTTTTCAGGAAGGAAGGCTGGGCCTTAGGCTCTCCTAGAAACAGCCCCATCCAGGGACTGGGAGACTGGGCTTAGAATCTCAGGCCTGCCCCCATTTGCCTAGCTCACCCTGAGTTCCTCAGTCTCCTAACCCCCAAGCCCAAAGCCAGTTCTCAGGCCTTGTTTTTCCTTCCTTCTCCTAACTGTCCATGGCAGCAGGATGTTTTTCTAGAGGACAATCTAGATGACATTCTCAGTACGCCTCACCCCACTTCTGGGCAATTGGTTCCGCCTGCATATCCAGCCTTGGATCTGTTGGGTGACACTCCCACACATGCCTCCTCTTCCCTCCCCTCCATCTTGCATCCCACCCCTCATCCAGGGAGGTAGGTGGTCCCAGGGGCCCAGATTCATCCAGCCTCCCCTTACCCAGACAGCCCTGGCGGAAAGTCCCTCAGGGACGTCTGGAAAGCTCTTCACCAGAGGCCTGAACCTTGGACTGTGATTCAGAGCAGGCTTCCAGAAAAGCTGGCGTAAAGAGGAACCATGGGTCAGACCGGGGAGGGCTGCTTAGGAAGGGGCAGTCTCTAAGAAGGGCCTGTCCTTGATGATCTCACGGGAGGGGACGGACATGGGCCCAGCTCACTGTCCCAAGAGGGACAGCAGCCTGGGTCGCCCTCCCTGGGCCTGGCCTGGCCGCTTGTCATGGGTGTGCAGGGGAGCGGGCTCATCCAGGGCCTCTGTCATGCACTTCTGCTCCTGTCTCCATTTCAATCCACTGCCCAAGGTGAGCACAATGCAGCCATTCAAAACCGCGTGTAAAAGTCTACTCAGTGACGCGCGGGGAAGTTCACGGTGCAGCATTAGATGGAAACAGCAGGCCACACG